ACAATCAGCAATCTGGAGTGATTAGCAAGGGCATGAGAGATGAATGAACTTTGTTAACAAAATTCTGTCCAATGTGTTGTACCTTCTTGGCCAAATGTTTAAATGAGTGTCTTAGTATTGACACTTTTGTACAAATGGGTTGTTGGATGTAAACACAGAGGGAGAAAGACTCTGACTCAAAGTTCTAGGATTTACTAGACCCCTTTTTAAGTCTCTTCTTTGCCCAGAACAGGAGATGACAAATGCTGCTTGGAATCAGAGGAACTAACATTTCTGTATGTCACACCTCAGAGTAGCACCTGCATCCCACACCTTAGAGCAGAAGTTCTTTCTCAAATCCAATTCATGCTCATGAGAACACTAGAAAGTGCTTGGCCTTGTATCGGTGTGGGAGAAAAACAACTTCTGTCACCTTGAAGATAATGGAAAAGGGAACAGATTTTCTTTCCTTTCTTCTGACCACAGCCAGGCTCTATCAGTACATTACTGTGTATGCATGCAGTGTGCAGCAAGGAAGTCTATTCCTGGGGAGTTAGCCTTTCTTTGCAATGTAAGAACAATGCTTCCATTGGAGAGGAATTGTCTTTTTCCTTTCATGCTTTTGCAGCATCTGGCTCAGTAGAGCCCTGAACAATGATCAGAGCCCCTAGGCAATACCACAGTACAAAAGTATCACTGTCAGGAATAGTTAGTACTGTTACTGCTCCTATTAACATTATATTGAAATAATGATAGCAACAGCAGAAATAAAACAATGTTACTACGTTACCATGCTTAAAAAAATAGGATTTAATTGCTAGTAAGAAGTGTCTCTTACCAGCCCCAGTAACCCAGCTTTGTTCCACACAGAAACAGCTTACAACATTTAGAGTCCATGCTGACATAAAGCAGAGGGTAACTAATAATTTACTGCAACTGATGAACAGTCCCTTAATTTCCTTATTAATTTAATGGAAATACTTCTGTAAGTGATACTTGTGTGACTAACTCCTACCTGGTGAAGGCAGAAATGAATTTGCTCCTCAGTGAGACTGTGGTTCTGAGGGGAGTATGGTTCCACAACATCAGAGACAGGTAAATAATAATCAGAGATTTTTATTTTATACTACCACTTCTCTATGACTACTTGCTGCTGATTTAAGTCTCTGAACTGGAGATACTGTCACCTGTGCCTCTTGTGAGGCCCTTTTTTGCACAGAAAGAACAATGTAAATGTACCTTGGTGGAAATGACAATTGCAGAGGAAAAGTCTGCAAGAAAGAAAACTCCGATGAAAAAAAAATAAGAACAAATGCCAGATGTTCAAACAAAACTTGCTGATGCCTCATCCCTTTGAGGAAATTGTTCAAGAACAGTTAATCCATATGAAAATATGGCACATAATACCACCAAGGTCAGTAGAGATATGGGATCTGCTGAAGAAATGCTAGGCATGAGGTATTTCTCTGCTAATACTGTTAAATGTCATAGAGAAAATGGCCATGTAATGACACATATCCCAACACGATTTTGTAGCTAGATTCTCATGTCAGAAACTAGATTTGAAATATACCCCTTTACTCAATAGATGATGACTTACTGTGCTTTAAATTATGCAGATACATGATACATTTTGGAAGTTTGGATCCTGATTGGATCTTGTCAATTTATTAGATGTGTCAAATCAAGGATATAATGAGCATTTGAGAGACTTTTCCAACTGTATTCTCTCATTCATTATAACTTGAAAGTGATTGTCCAAACATGTTAGGTTATGAACCTGACTAAGACTTACTTAACAAAGGCATTGATGAATTAGTAGGTTGTCAAATATTCCTGCACAGATTGTGAATGCCAGATCTCCTAAAAACTTAAACACAACACCAGCAGCAAACGTCCCTCTGTGAAGCTAAGTCTATATCAGCTTATGCCTGTAACCATAGCTGAACTTCACCACAGCAGACAATACATGAAACCCCTCTTTTCCCCTATAAATACCCTTTTTAATAGTAACTCTCCTCAAGACCCCTCTATTCAGCATCTATAGGTTATCTACAAAAGATAAATGAACTTCAGTTCCAGTTTTTCTCTATACAATACAGATTGTATACTCTCTCTGGAAAAAAATCAATGGATTACAAATTTGGAAGATTGCGGCAGAAACTATGCAAGAACTGTTCCCTGTTAAAAAAGGAAAAATATTCTACACAGGCTTTATTACCTTTGGAATTTATTTTTATTAATGATTATTTAAAATAAATACTTGAGACATACTCAAGAAATAGAATCTCTGTAAATATCTGAATTGAAATTCTTCCCCACCTTTGTTTATACTGCAACAAAACCTAAAATTCACAAATGATGTCTCCTGTGCATTCTTACCAAAACTGAGGTGGAATCAACTGGCTATTTCTTATATTTCTAAGACAGGAAGAAACCCAAGTATAACATGAAACAACCCTCCAGAATTAAAGTAGTAAACAATGCATCTTTCAGACATTCTTAATGTATTGCAAAGCACTTAACAAAACCACAGTCTTGTAGGCTTTTTTCCTTTTCAGTCTCCTTCTGTTTTGAGTTTTGCTTACAAATTACTGAAAGACAAGAGTAACTTTGTCTTTCAAGGCTAAGTTGTTTAAAATAAAGATTTTTCCCAAACAAACAGAATTTGAGTTTCTTCTGTTCCTACCAGTATTCTGGTTTTCTATCTTATTCATTAGCAAAATATTTCTTTGATTATTTTCCGGGGTTTAGTTTTGTTTCAGTAAACCATCAACTCTTTGTTCTTTCTTCTATAAGTCAAGGATAGTTCCATGAATCTTATTCAGTAAGTACACAAACACATTTGTAATTTTAAGCATGTGTCCTGGTTTCGGCTGGGATAGAGTTAATTTTCTTCCTAGCAGCAGGCATAGTGCTGTGTTTTGGATTTAGTAGGAGAAGAATGTTGATAACACGCTGATGTTTTTAGTTGTTGCTGAGTACTGCTTATGCTAGTCAAGGACTTTTTCAGCTTCCCATGCTCTGCCAGGCGCACAAGAAACTGGGAGGGGGCACAGCCAGAATAGTTGATCCAAACTGACCAAAGGGCTATTCCATACCATATGACGTCATGCTCAGTATATAAACTGGGGGGGGTTGGCCGGGGAGCAGCGATCGCTGCTCGGGAACTGTCTGGGTATCGGTCGGCGGGTGGTGAGCAATTGCATTGTGCATCACTTGCTTCGTGTATCATTGTTATTATTATCTTTATTATACTGTTACTATTAGCATTACTATTTTACTTTATTTCAATTATTAAACTGTTCTTATCTCAGCCCAGGAGTGTTTCTCACTCTTACTCCTCCAATTCTCTCCCCCATCCCATCGGGGTAGGGGGAGTGAGCGAGCGGCTGCGTGGTGCTTAGTTGCTGGCTGGGGCTAAACCACGACAGCATGAGAAAAATCCTAGGGCTACTCACATAAAGGTAGGCATCTCCTAAAATATAGGCATTAATAATAAATGTTTAATTTCTGTGTATACACAGAAAGCTGGACACAATATCTATCCTAATTTGCTCCTCATAGCAATGTCTTATTTTTAGGAAAACCTGTTTTGAAATCAATAGAAATATACAGATAAGGATCTGGTCTAAATTTGATTTAGGATTGAAAACCATTAAGTTTTTTGATAGTTACTTTAAAAGAACAAAATTATTTAACTAATCTTATTTTATGTAGAATGGTATGGGCATGTTATTTAGGTTTAAATATTTTTATTGATAATTGATATTGATAAACACTGAAATAACAGTTTAAATCACAATGCTCAGAGCCAGTCTTGGTTTCAGGCAATACAGACAACTGTTGTATTTGTGATTCCCCAAACAGGGATAGAAGTTTCCTAGAATTACCTAACTCATAGCTTGACACTAGCAATATCCTACAGCATTATTTTGACTTCTCTACATTCTTTACATCGATACACCACACAGTTTTTCATTTCCTTAAGAAGTAGCATTCCCTTATTAAAAAACAAAATCAGATTGGGTACAATTCGTCAGTCCTTCCTCAGCAGTCTTGGAATCAGGACATAGGAGGGAGGGTGGATGTAAGGGAATATGTTGTTGCCACTGTTCACCACAGTTTTACAATAACTTTATCATGGCCAAAAGCATAGTGCCAGAAGCAGAATGAATAAAAAATTCACGACAGTTGATATATAATTATCTGGGATCTATTCCCACAGCCTAATATTCCACAGATCAAATATACAAATTAATTGGATACATTACTTAAGAAATGACTGCACTGTAGATTGTGTACTTTTCAGACTTTTTATAAACTACTCACAACAAACAGCAGCCTTGTACCTTCTTCTCAATTTAAGACAATGCTTTTTTCTAGGGTCTTTAAATTGACCCATATGGTTACATAGAGAACACAATGGAAGTTGTTATATTTGCAAAAGGCAAATAAAATCAGTTAAATTGCACATTATTTATAGAAAGAGGAACAGCTGTAACAAAGATATATGTATTATATAATGGGTTTTATATATAACATTTTGACATTTGCAACAAATGCATGGCTTTATGAATATAACGACAAGTTTTAGAAGCTTAATTAGTTTAATTTTAGAAATTATGCCTGCAGTAATGTTTTCAAACTCAAACTCCATATCAGTTTCATCAAGTACATGAAAATTATCACTTGCAGCTTGTCACCTGAATAAACCCCCCTGCCAATTAGTATATATTATGGAGACATGGAAATACATGCAATTCCTAGAATGTATTCTGTAAGTGGATACACAAATAATTGTGCCTTACTTTGAATGTCCCCTTGTTCCAAGCCGCCTTGTGGTAAGGAGAGGGAATTTCTGGCGAATGGTCTAAAGAGAAAATAACTGTATTAATTTCTAACACCAGTATACTTTCTTGGCAATCTGTTCATAGAAAAATCGTAGTGTAAATATATGGTCTAATGTAGCCCATGAATAAATAATCGTGATACTTATGTCAAAACATAAACAATTAAGCATGTTTTACACTGCAGGGGTCCTTCCATCCTTGTCCATCTTTCTGTGTATCTCCAGTTTTCCCATCCATAAACTCATTCGCACTCTTCCCACCTGTTCTTCCTTTCTGTTTTCACTCTACAACTTAAAATCTAATTTTCTTCACCAGGATCCTGTTTCATTCATGTCTTTAAAGCACAACAGTGTGTTTTGCTTCAGAGATCTAAACAGAACCAGGGAAAGATCTTCCCTCTAGCTATTCTGTTTTCAAAGTCAAACAACTAAAAATAAGTTGATTTTTTATTTGAAAAGTGTGATCTGAAAGCAAGCAAATATTTGTCTTGCAGGTATTTCTGTGTCCTCCACTACCAAAGTGCTGGACAGTCTTAAACTTATTTATGCTCACTGAAAACTTATGAAAGCTTCTGTTAGTTATATGTTGCACATAAAGAATTCATGTTATGTGATTTAATCCAAGTCAAGCAAAACATTCTGTCACTGGACTCCAGAGATTGAGATTAGTGCCCTAAAAACATCCTACCTTTCCTGTAAAGAATGATGCTTAAGGCAAAAGGTTTATTAGGTAAAAAAGTAATTCAGTAATAGAGGTAGATCCAATAGATACATCTAATAGATCACTGTCAAAACAACATTTAAGTGGAAAGCTATTGTTTTCCTCATTTATACTGAAACTGTGTAATGAAAATTAGGCATACACTTTCTCAGTATATCAAATTCAAGAGGAAAAGAATAAGTAAGTGAACATTTTATGAACTGGATTTTAAATCCATTATTATTATTTAATTAAATTAATGCATTTTGCTATGTATGAACAATGACTAGATCAGCAGTGTTTAAAAAAAGATGATCCTTGAAGCATTTTTGGTTTCCTGTTTCACTAACTACTCAGGATTTAATTTGGAGAGTTCACATCTCCCTTTCATTAAATGATTTCAGGATTAATTGTAAGGAAGGGTAGAAAAGAGGATGAATCAACAATTTTTTCATTCAGGAGCTCTTTGTGTTATTAATTTTTATTCCCCTTCTTGTATTGCTTCTTGTGTCACATCTCACTTTACACTGCCTTTAGTATAATTAAAAGTGTCTTCTATATCAGATCTGGTTTTGTGGAAAGAACCCTATTAATGTCATTGTCAAAAAGAAGGGAAAAGGGGGGGGGGGGGGGGGTGTTTTTTTTTTTTTTTTTAAATGAAATAACAATAAATCAAAGGGAATTTCAGCTTCACTCTCCTATAAGGTGGTGTCATGAAATCCCTTCATACGGAAGAGTGTAGTTAGCTTGATTCCATATACGTTAGCAGTAGAAAACATGTGAATTTGAGATGCATTTTGACACAGGTGTACTAAATTGTCATTCTATCAAAGAATTAGGCTAACAAATTCTGAAGACATTTACTCTTTACCTTCCCAAAAGTTGCAGCACAGGCAGGTTCCAGCTTCTCTTTTCTGCAGAAGTCTAAATAGTGTGCATAAAGGATGCATCTTGGTAAACAAACTCCTTCACAGACAATGTAGTTTTCTTCCAGCCTGCATAGAGAAAGAAACCGGCAGAGTAAGAAGCAACATGCCACGTCTCTGCATTTTAGTTTTCTTCTGGGTTTTGGTACTGCCCTCTTTTTTTTTTTTTTTTTTTTAATTTTACTGCAGATTTCCATGAGAGCACACAGATGAGTTTCTATGGAACAAGACAGACACTACAGACTGACTCCACACTTGGTACTTAGGGTAGCTGCAGAATACAGAAAACCTGGGGACAGGTCCCTTTTCCTAATGAGTCTTTTTTCAATGGCTGGACTTTTCTGCTTTCTATAAATGATTAAATGATCATCACCTAAGAGCCAGCCTTGCTCTGAAAATAAGAGCACTAACTACACTGTGAAAGACTTGGGTTTAAGTCTGTCCTTCGAACAGAGCAGGGGCTTGAACTTGCATCTTCTGTCCCACTGAATCTGGACTAATGTCTCTATTCTTCCTATTTTTGCTTTTTAATTTCCATGCTGGACCTGAAATTGTTTCTTGACAAAACCATACTGAAAAGCAAAGAACTGGCTTTTTCTAAAGGGGATACATTTTTATGTAGCTTCCCAATCAGTTTACAGAATACAAGTGCCTAGTGACTGTCATTAAAGTAAAATTTTAAAAACTGAAGTAAAAAACCAGTTGTCTTCACTTGAACTGAACTCTTGGTAACAGCTGGGCATTTCACTGTTGTCCTGTTTCTTTTCTTTATCAGTCTACATTACTTGCTACTCCTGGGACGATGTGCAATAAATTTATTTGTCAAATTAAACAAATCTGCAAGAAAATACTGTGTAGTAAATGCTGCATACTGAATAATTTTGCACTGACTCATCAGAGTCAAATCCTTACAATTTGTCCTCAGAAGTCAGATGTAAACTAGACCAAGAAACCGGGAAATTTGGATTACTCTCATTTTTCAGTTAGAAGGAAAAAAAAAATTATCTAGATTTGCATTTGGTAACTAAGTTCCCATTTAATTCAACAGCACTCCTCCCTAATTTCAAGTGTGCTTTAATAGAAACATTTATCAATTAATGTCTACAGAATTTGACCTCTTATTTGGTTAATTTTTTTGCCCAGATAGAACGAAGTAAAGTTAGGGCTTCTATGGATGGTAGAATGTAATATAAAAAAAAAAAAAAACCACAAAAAAAAGTTATAAGACAGTGAAAATCTAACATTCATAGCCTTAAAGGACAATTAAAACATCCATTCAGAAATGTCATTCTTAAGCAATGTTTCATTTCTAACCTTTTTTGATACATTTCATCAATTTTCTACGTTTCATCAACAGTTGCAAGACTCTGATATAGATTTCTGTTAACTGACAAACCTCTGCTAATTTAAAAAATGAGAAATTTGTGGGTGGGTATCCTCATTTGTAGACGAAGCTTACCTGGGAGGGGGACCCCAAAAGCCAACCAAACAAAAAAAAAAAACCCCAAAACCCCACCAAACCCAAAACGACAAGTATTTCTAAAAAGGCTGTGAGGTGTAACCCTCCGGGGCGGGG